GGTTATGTCGTAGAAATTCAGTTTTTGGTTGTCTATGAAACTAGATAAATTATCATTAGTCGACATCAACCCAGTACAGGGGGTTTCATGACCTCCATGACAACCATGATGGCATGGTTCATGACAACCATGATATGACATTGGAATCGTTGGGTAGAAAATTGAAAATTCGATTCAGTCACAACATGTGTGAGGAAATTCGGGCAGTTGAGAGCACATCTGCGACCAATAAGACACAAGAGATGTAGTGATATAATATAAAATACCTCTCCGAAAGCATATTACTGCAGATATGAAATATTTCAGTCGAATATAAATTATTTTAAATACAACAAATTTTATTAATTAATTTTTAAGGCTTTAATCTATTTTAATTTAACTTTTCTTCTTTTCACCCCATTTCTCGGAAAACGAAACATTTGCGGACATAAAGTTTGCATGCAGAATCATGCCTTGAAATTAGTCAAATTTATTTCTTAACATCCTGTTACAGAATGACAATTTGAAAACTTGCAATGTTAATATGTAAGAAACGATAAAGACAAAACAAAGTTCCTCGAATCCCTTTCCATAAGAAGTAAAAAGTTATAAGTTTAGAACTCTTCAAAAATGCTTTACGATTAGAATACATAACGTCTCATTTGATGTACAATTTTGATCTACATGTTACATTTTTCCGGTTTCCTTCAAAAGAATTACCTCTCTTTCACCTAGAAAATATCCCTTTGGAATTATATTGCTTACTTTTTGAAATATCATCGCCTTACTTTTATCCTGGGAGGGTATGCTCTAAGTCTTGTTTTTTTTTGTCTTAACGTCGTTGGAATATTTTATACGATGTATGTATGCGTGTATGTGTGTGCTTTAAAAGTATATAAATTTAACTATCTAAGTGAAATAATTAGTAGTAATAGTTATGTTATCTTTCGTAATAATTTGACTATTGTCATTTATTTCACCGTTTTCTTTTTCATTGTTATAATTCGGCAGTCGTAAAGTAAATAAGTTGTAGACGTTGAGAGATTTAATTTATTTACTGATCATTGAGTTGATTGATTGATTGATACATTGATTTTCGTTTAGTTCCATTTAAACCTAGTTCGATAGAAAACCAAATCAATTACAGTTTACGAACTTTACGAAGTTGTTAAACTAAATTTCAAAAATAAAAACTGTTGGCAGGATTAAAATTAAAGAGGACAATTCATGCCAAGCAGAAAAACCGGAGACTCTGTACTTAGAAAAAGTCTTTGGTTGGCAAGAAAAGGTCTTCAGCAAGGAGCAGAAGGAATATTACAGCGATGAACGAAACTGTTTTACAGAACGTGAAAAAGAATATCACAAACTCATCAGTGAGGATTTTTCGGAAGAAGACGACTATTTATTATTTTCGTATTGCACTGGTGATGAGTTCTATGTAGACCATGAGGTAAATATAATCATAAAACTTTTCTTAATGAAGTTATTAGTTAGGTATACTGGCATTTTGAGAAATTCTTATTGAAGCGATATGCAATATACAGGGTGTTTTGAGAGGAAAGGGAAACATTCCGCCAATATGTTCAGGAGGTCAGAATTAAACAAAACAACCCATATGATGTAATCCGATTCTTAACCGTTTCTGAAACCAATGTGTTTTTCTTTTTCGACATTTGTTTGTACTTTATTGTTTGCCAATAACTAATTTAATCCTAATACCTAATGTAACATCGACGTCGTTTTTTAATCGAAGTTTTTCAAAAAGGTTTTGCAAGTATTCAAGAAACTTGAACTTTTCCAAGCACCAGGATTGACTGCGCCTGGACTGAACGAGAAGCGGGTTTAAATGTCGAAATTGAAGAGAATGTTCTGGATATGACTGAAGTAAAGCCAGGTGTTAGTCATCGCATATGGCCGTTTAGAAGACACCTAGGTAAAACGATTTAAAGCCTTTCGACGTTCAACCAATTCAAAGACTTCAAAAAGGTGATCGCGACTCCGATGAAGCTTAGTTTACCCGCGTTGGAATCAATAACTATCACAGTGAACATCGGTTGTTCGATAAAAATCCTCAAGCCCCGTTTGAACGAAACTTTCAACATCGATTCAGTATTAACGTATGGTGATGTTGATTGTAACATGTTAGATGATGTTCGATGTTTCTCCAATTGTTCGACCCCTAATGTACTTTGAGCACTTTGAGTGAGACGGAGCCCCTCCTCATGTTAATCGCCGGCTGCGCATAATTTCTTAGACAATCGTTTTCGTGATCGTTCGGTTGGCAGAGAAGGACTTCATGCTTGGCCACCAAGATCGCCAGAATTAAATCCACTGGATTACTGCCTCTGGAGGTGGATGGAATCATCAGTATACGAAACAAGAACGGAAGGATTCCGCAATCGAATTTTCAATGCTACAAATATCATCTCTTAGAAAACAATATCCGAGCAATTCAACGAACAACACGGAAGATTAAAAAGCGGGCTGAAGCTTAATGGGAGTATTTTCTGAAATATTCTAAATTAATTTAATTTTGTTGTTTACTTTTTTAACTTTAGAGCCGTTTATCATTTATCTTATTTTGACCTACAGAACACATTTCCAAAATATTTCCGTGTCCTCCGGAAACTCCCTGTGGAGAGTGCTAATGAGAGCTAATATGCTCGAAACCGGTCATGGGGGTGCCTGAGGTTGGTGCCGTGGGAAAGCATTTTTTTTTATTTTTGATTATTTGAAATAACTTCAAAAATTAAAAAGAACGGAAATTCCAAAAACCACTTTCTTCTAAATTACTCAAAAATTTAAAGAAATATTCCTTTTTTGAAAACGCCTTGTATATGGCATTATGGCCTCCTGCTTGGGCAACTTTTTCCTTATTTAACCGAATTCGTATCTTACGGTTTCGGAGATCCCCATGCAATGCATCCTTACCTTGGACACCCGGTATATAATTTTATTTATATTCTGTAAATTGCTTTAATTTGTCTAGATTATGGGTAATACTGCTTATCTAGAAGAAAGGTTGAATAATTTAGCAGTAGGTCGTTCAAACATTTCAGACGGAAAAGATGCTTATGACTATAATACGAGCGTCATAAAATCTATTGAAAACCCGTTGGTCCGAAATACGTTTGAAAACATGTACATAATGGCGGACTTTGGGTAAGCGTATTAATTTAAAATTTCACGATACCATTTTTTTTTTTAATATACATATAATTTCTTCACCTGTTTTAAAAGTAAGCTTTGAAGATTCTACTTTGTGTATTATGGCGACAGAAAAAATCCACTTTGTTAACCATCCAACATTAATACAGAACGATTTTAGACAAAATTTCGAAGGAACGTGGTTAAAAAATGAAAAACTGCTGTGTACAGTGGGATATAATAAGCAGTCGAAAATTTTACGAATAAGCCCAGATATTACAAACACACAACGTTATGTTTTAAAAATACATACCGAAAAGGAGCGAATCTTCAACTATCTTATTGAGCATTGTTCAAACAATGTTCCAGAGTCGATTGAAGTTAACGAGAAAACTTTAATTAAGAAAGTGAGTATTGGCTAGTAGTTATTCATGTTATGTGCTATTAGCGTTTCAAGGAAGACGAAGCAAGGGTTACTACCTCGGCCCTATCTTTTATATTTGAAAAACAAACGTGATTTTTGTTAACTTGCATGGTTAAAGTCGAAGTAAAAATACGTATTGTCATTGTTTCAATTTTTATTTTTTAAGATCAATGATTTTGAAGCTCTCAAGAAGGAAAAGTTATTCCCAGGACCCTTCAAGCTGCCACCAAGAAATAAGTTATACGTTTTCGTCTTCATGGAAATATGCTCTGCAAAAGGTTTTGAGTACTCAGATATTTTTGTTCAATATCAGATTAAGCTTCCCCAAGGATGGTTCAGTTCTGACTTAGATCATATGAAGGGCAGAACGCATCTCTGCAGGGCAGCAGATGAAAATGGATTAGTACATTTCGGCCATAACATGGAGATACTTTTGGAATATAATTTAACAAATTTAGGACAATCTAATGGTAATTTGGGTTTAAGATTATTTATGTTATTATGTATGTATTTGGTTTAATTTAATCTAATCGTTCAGCTTCCATTCAAGTTATCAACTATCAAATAAAAAAAGAAAAGAAAAATTAAAATATTAATTAATTTAAACATTCGCTTGCTTCCAACTACATGCAACCAAAGATCAAACTTGAAGCAAAAAAGTATTTTTCCATAATCAGGGTTGCATCCAATTTCACCAGTTTCAAATTGCAATAACATTATGAACAACCAGACCATTGACGAAGCAAATGTCATCATCATCATCATCATCATCATTTGTGGCTTCACAACGCTGGGTGGATTATTACCGACTGCTCAACCACACGTCTCCATCCTTCCCTATCAAGCATCCGATTAGGGTCATCTTCGATGTTCATGGCTTTTAGGTCTTTTGTAATATTATTTCTCCATCTGAGGCAGGGCCGACCCAATGGACGTTTTCCCTCTGAAACCTCCTCCCACAATAGTTTTAACATCATAGTTTACCATTCTATGGTCCGGCATTATTTTAACGTGTCTTGCGCACTGTAGTCTCCTGTAACCCTCCTTTCTATCGTTTATTATGCTATTATCAGTGTGGAGCTTTTTGAGTTCCACACCGTCAAAATGACCCATTTCGTCACGTCATATAGACGTAATTATCTCGGCAATATGCTATATGAAAATGACGTTCAAAAACTAAGTAACCCGATGTTACTTGGAAGATTCTTCTTCTCATTTCTCGTTCTTGAAGGGTCGCTAAATAATGAGTTTTTTTTAGTATTAGACAATTTGTTCAATAAACAGATGAGAAATGAATTTATTACTTGACCGTAAAACATCTGCATTAATATTGGCAGATACCACGACTCGCGGATCGACAGTGTTGATAAAATCTCGGTTAATTTTGTTCTTTAGGTGATTTATTTCTAAAACTACTGTGTTTTTGTTTGTTTCAGAATACTCCCAACTTCCCTATGTATACTTCGAAATTATATCGAAAGGTTCTTGGAATCGATACAGAACTGAAGGGTTGTGTTATCTACAGATCCCAATATATTCTTCCAGAACGTTAACACACAACTTAAAGTGCTTCCGTTTTACGAAAAACCCCATTAGCGAAATGAGAAGATATTTTATTGGAGATTACCAAAACTACGATGACGTTTCGTGGATTGGTATTCCTAATGGTTATCAGGTAGGACTGGATGAATGAAGCGCGAAATTCAACTTTTCCAGATCATAAGAATCTACTTAACATTTTACCGTTGACATCTGAATTTCCTTATTTTACCATTGTGGCATTTTATAGGGTTATTAGGGCTTATTTGGAGAGTACAAATTTTTTTTTTACATTTTCGATATTCTGATACTTTCGACGATGTTTCCTGTCAGATCATTTAACTCCAGATCTTTTAGCCTGTCCGTCGGTTCTAATCTCTGTTCAATCTGCCTGCTGAACTCTTTCTGCATCGCCCCCCAACTCAGTCCTCTCTGGTCTCGGCCCCTTCACAATCAGCTTTTCTCTTCCCGATTTGTCACATCTGTCACATGTGTGTTTTTTTTGTTTGTTTGCCCGGCGGCTGGAGGAATAAAAAATCTTTGCGAAGACACCCAGTGTTCACCATTCACAGGACACTAGAACACATTAAATCTCTGATCTTCCGAACACCGGCACAAATTGAGCAGGAGTTAATTAACCGAATACGAGAAGCTGTTCAAAATGTGAACCCAGGCTGCTGCCAAGAGTGCACGGTAAAGTGATTGGGACAAAACATGTTTGGAGTAAAACGAGCAGAACTTCGAACATTTCTATGATTTCAAAACTTAATTGTATTTTATTTGATTTATATTGATCATTTGTACATAACCTTTAACAGGAAATTTCCAGTTTGATGCCCAGTTTGATGGTTTCTACAACAACACCGTTCTCGCCAGGTGCTCAGGTGTTCTTTCTGACAACGACTGGAAGACCTCATTTTCTGTTACCGCTGGCATCTCTTCCGATCCTTGATTTATTATGTTGGAATATTTTCAGATGTTCCTGCTTGACTCTGGTTTCTATAGAGCTTGGTGTAAAAGTCCGCGACAATCTTTAATATTTCTTCTCTGTTACTTGTTGTTTGCCCTCTATCATTCTTCAGTTTAGTTATTTCAGCTTTTCCCCTACTTAATTTATTACGTAGCTCCGTCATACTTTTATTATGTTTAAAACTCTATAAGGCCCCAATTGATTGTTGAGGTTTCTGATGTTAGTTCTTGCGGCTATATCTTTATTCGGTCGACTTAGCTCATCTTTTTGTTGCGTTTTTTTTTCTTAGTCATTTTCGTCTGTGTTTCATAAAATTTTTAATATTTATGAAGCTTTTGTTCATTTTCTGCTTGTTTTAAGCAGTGCTTCTTTTGAGCCCCGTTGATTGACTCCACAATGTTTCTATGTAGATCTTCAAGAATACCTGTATCGGCTTGTTTTAAATGTTTGTTTATGTTTTTTTTTATTTGTCAGCATCATCTACATTTGTTCACTTCTTGCTGCTCTTTCTAATCACAAGTTTATTTCTGCTTTTTCTTATACCTCCTGTGATCCGGACGTCAAGGTCTCTTGCCAGCTTCTTGGCGGTCTCCCAGGTGCTCGGGACGTGTGGAGTTTTTTTGTTCATGCCCACCTGGCTATTCCGTCCGTGTGCATTTTAGCGACATGTTCCTCCCAGCATAGCTTCTTGCTCTCAGCCACCTCACTATGTGCTGCGCCTCAAGTTCCCCTCGTAGACTGTGGTACTGCATTCTATCCTCCAGCATTACTTCTCATATTGCTCTTAATACTAAGTTTATTTCGTGTGCAAAAACTTCAGGTATAAGCATGGGGAACTCAATTTAAAAAGTCAAATTTGAAACATTGAATAGTTCTCAATTTCACCTGTTTTAATTTTGTTGATTTACACATAAAACAACTTGTTTTTGCGAATATTCCAGTTCTCCTTGCGACAATTATATTCTCCTTTATTTTTCTGTACTCTCTAAAGATTCCCAGACTACACCTCCAGGAAAATAACGCCAATTCTATTTACCTTGTGTACCTTACATACTTATTTTTTTTCTGTCCATTTTTTTGCAAATTTTACTGTTTTTAGGAAAACACAATTAACAAATACGGAACAGAAACGATTTGCACGGGCGAACTAAATATTAAGATTAATGTACTGCATCAATCTCAAGAATTTTTGGAAGAACGCCGAGGGAGCATTGATAAGAGTTCAAAAACAATGCTCGAGCGACTGGGTTCTTCGGCGCTGTTAAAAAGTGTAGAACAAGTAATTCAAGAATTTAAAAAAGCTAGAAAGGAAATGCTGGATGCTCGCAAACATGTGGCAGATATTGTAATTGACTAAAATAAATATGCAGATTTTTTTTCAGACTTACTGTTAAGCATTACTGTATTCAGCCCCTTGCAAAATACAATGTGTTCCTATTGGTCGAATCCCTGTTCCCTAGTCTATTATTTTCAGAATAGTTTGACGTAGAAAATACATTTATTTGGTTTTTGAAAAAACCGACTGACCCCAGATTCGCCACAATCTTACATGCGAGACATTAACATAAGGAAAACCATCTACGCGTACGTGAAAAAATATTGAGGGCCACGCTTATATTTCTCACAAAACCGCCACCCTCATAAGCATCCACCCATATGTCCAAACCAATAGAGGAATCTGCCGTTCTGAAAAGTTTCTATTGTGAGTTAGGCTTCATGTCTCGGCCTTCATTCAAAGATCTTGTTGGTCGATCTGTAGTCCGTCTCTCTTGCAATGTGTCTCCTTAATTCCATTTTGATGTTGTTATTTCCCTGACCACATCCTCTACCCCAGTTCTTTCTTTATGTCGCTGTTATTCATTCTGTCTCTTAAGAGATG